TCTATTTAGTCTTATCGATTTACGCTTTTCTTTTCTTTTCGATCTCATCTTCATTTATCTTATATGTTTTCTCCCTTCCCCCTCTCTCTCTCTCTCTCTCTCTCTTTCTCTCTCTTCATAACATCGCTTAATACAGTTTATCTTCATTATATTTTATCTTATTATATTTTATCTTATTTTTTGTAATTATATTACTTTTGTGTTTAAATTACCTTTCTTTTTATTTCTGTTATGGCTTGTCATGTCCGTTATTTTATAACACTACTCGGCGTATTTTATTTTTATATCATATTTTATTTTTTGTGATGACTTATGATACTTTTATTATATCACTTCAGTTATTTTGTATATCCTTGTTCTATCATTTTTCTTTCGCTTTTATGCTTCTTACGCTTTTCCTTAGAAGACTTGCCCTAGAATAATAATAAACGCCTTTGTCTCTCTCTCTCTCTCTCTCTCTCTCTCTCTCTCTCTCTCTCTCTCTCTCTCTTTCTCCCCTTACATAGGTTACATCCTCAATATACATATATCCTACATTTCTTCTCTTTCTCGAACCTCTTTTGCTTTCTTGAGGCTTTAAAGCTCGAGGCTTGTAATTTTCTTGTTCCAAAACTTATTCCACGCGACGCCTCTTATCCGGAACTTGTCGCAGGCATTCTCACTTGAGGGAAAGGTAGTGACAACTTTCTGCAAACAGTGATTACAAAGGCAGAACTGACAAACATTCGTAGCAAGAAGGGATGAAGGGTGATTGTCATCTATTTCGCGACATTATCTGACTGCTACTTTCCGCGCGCGTTTTCACCTCTATTGTGCAGATTGTTCATGGCTTGTCATTAACTTTAACCGCCGTTACAATTTTACGAAGCGTATTCCGTGCTATTACGTTACACGCATTGCATCACTTGACACGTGATAAGAGAGAGAAGATTTAATTAAAATATCAAGCGAAAAAAAAGAAAGGGCATAAAGTAATCTACATAAAGATGATTAATTATGTCTGACATTATGAGTGTTATTTGAACAACGTTTGTACACGTGAAAAAGCGGAATTAAATTCAGCGTAGATAAAATATAATTCGGGTAGAAGATTTATTCGTCCACAGTGAAGACAGTAATCCAAGTTTAAACGTAACAACGAAAAATAAAATACTTTATATTATACATATAATAATACGAGTAATTAGGGAGTAAAGGAAATATATATCGATATTATGCAAGAAATTGCATAATAATAAATTGTTAATCTAATTTTTATTTCAAAAATCTCTGCTTACTTTTAATTATTAAAATAGAAAAAAGAATTATATATATTTTTCTTGTAAAATGTATTTTTAAAAAATATATTTATTATAAAGATAATGTGGTAAATAATATAAACACAATTTTTTTTAAACTGCAATAAGTAATTATCAATTTTTATTTGCAAATATATAAATAGTACTATTTGCAAGACCAAATTTTTGATAGAAGAGAAGTATATAAATCTGCTTTTATATTAAGTGAACGAATCGACCGAATTTCAGGGACGTTAACCGTAGGGACGTTAATTTCAAGAACGTCTCCGAGCTTCTTCCGGTCGCGAGCACCACTCTCTACAAGCACCAAGTTATTTGAGCGGGCTTGACCATAATTCATCGCAGGTGTCGACTCGCTGAGCAAGCAATTCGTGTAGCTCTACGAATTTACGTTAATTTTCACGAGGCGAGCCACGTGCGCCGACAGGAGTTCCGAAAGGGACAAGTAGAAACGACCAGTTAAAGTCAGACAGGCGTGCGTATGCACCACTCCTGCAACGAGTTTACTGTGCTCTCAATCGTAAGATTAAAGGTATGCTTGCGCTAGATGAAACATATGTCGCTACGAATTCGCTATAAATTCGATTTGATCTTAATATTCATACCTCTTTACGTTATTTTCGCGATTAATATTAACTAAACTTGTATATACTTATAAACACTTACTCCGTTTTATAAGTGTCGATTAACTGTGCATCAAATTCCTAGGATTTACATGAAATAAAATTTATTAATTGAACAGAATATCGTAGCGTTTTGAAGCGCTGAAAATATAAGATTACTATTTTCCTGCTAAATTTCTCTTAAAAAATATGAGATTATAATTTTCCTGCTAAATCTCTCTTAGGGAATATGTTAGAAAATTCACTCTTTGTGAGACGGTATGCGATTTGAATTTACGTATTCGGGTACAAATAAACGTAAGTAAGGTTTTGATGCGATGTGGCGTATTACTCAACGTGAGTTCAAAAGGAAAACGCGGAGATGACGTAGGTCTTCCTTCGGGTGATACCAGAAAACTTTTCCGGGTGCCAAGCATTAGAGTTATTTACCGCGGGAAGCTCCATTTTCGGCGGCTACTCACCAGGGCGCAAAATGCGAAGGCAACGCGATACTTATATACAGGACGAGCGGCCATAAAGGCCGCTATAAATTATACCCTTGATAAAAGTAGCCATATTTAATGCCGGCCACCCGCGGAGTACACCTGAATATGAATTCATTCGCCCTGACAGTGACAGTATACATTTTATCCGTACAATACGATGCGAGTTCAAGAATCGCGCGCACTTTTCGGCTTGGAATTACGGTATATTTGTGTTTCCGGGCATTTCGCTTCTTATTCTCCATGAAATCCAGTGGGGTCAACTTGGATAAGCACAGTCGTGAAATATAAAAATTATCATAAGCCTAATCCTTTTCAATTTTTATTTACCTTCAGTATTAAAAGATTCTTCCGCGATTAATGCGAAGTTTGTTATTTGTACAAACATACTTGATTTAATTGCCGTAATAGAGTCAAATGAATAATAGGATTGCTAATTGCAATAATATATTTTTATAATTTGTATGAATGTAATTCTCGGCTACTTTCTTCCGTAATCAGCTCAGCAATCAGCAATGATATGTTTTTCTGTATACAATAATTAAAAGCGTGTTTAGATAAATAAAAAAGACGCATGATTTATATTTAAATTACCGTTTTCTTAATTAACAATAGCAAATTTGGTATAAACTGCAAAATCTAAACAAAAATATAACAAAACGACTATGCGTAATAAAATAGTGAAATTTTGCTTTTTTTGCTACGTTACATTCTGCCACTGTAAAGTAATATTATTTTACTATCTGTGTACGCATGATGAATATATATGCAATATGGATTTTTAATAAGTCATCTACACGTCTAAAAGAGACAAAAAATGAGGCTAATGTTTAGAACAATAAGGTAATTCTGAATAACAATGTTTTCTGTATTTGATATAAAAAAAATGGCCAGTTTTTTGGATGAAAGCCACACGATAAATGACGAATGTGAAACTCTGAACAGGCTTTTTGATGAGAACGTGCGACAGTTCTCGTCTAAACCGTTCTAAATCGCCAAAAAAACTGTTATTGAAAACTGCTTCGTATACAATATTGTGTGTCCCTGTTTCTCTTGCTTAAACTGTTTTTTTTTTCGATACTCGTATTACTATTGAAACTAGTAAACAAGATCAATATATAAAGAAAAGCATGGGCAAAATGGGCAAAAACATACAATTAGGTAATTTGCCATAATAAATCAAGATGAAGAATCTGGAACATATACATTAAATTTATAATATCAAATTATAGCGCAAATGTAGTAATCATGGATCCAATTATGAGTCTGTAAAACTTAAACTTTCTTTAGAGATTTATGGATTCCATGATTGAATTTAACAAAAATACATGCTGTCAGGTTACCTGCATTGTCCCAAGTCACATTTACGGTATTAGTACTTAATTTGAGTTATTTTTAATTATTTCTATAGGTCGCCACTGCTTCTACTTAATATATTCTTAATTTAATTAAAATAATGGAATTGAATAATTTAATTCAAGCAAATGTATTAAAGAGTGCAAGATGTGCCCTCAATTCAATAAAATTAGGAATTAAAATAGATACCAAATGAAGGATCTTATTGAACTGAATACAAATATATATTTTTATTTTGCACCAATTTTCTGTTTCAAAGTTATAGGGTATACATTTACTATATATAATATTAGTGTATATAATGTGTACAAATATTGCACATAGAATTACGTTTTAAGATTTGGATATATTGCACACGGATGTACATTTTAAGAAAGTGTCAGTATAGTCATTTATTAATTGTGCCGAGTACGATTGATGGACATGATTTCCAAATCTTCATTTAGAATGTAACCATGGCTGTGACACCATGTAATATGACTGCAATATCCAACAATGCGCGTGCCAGATTCGCAGTCACATTAATACGCCACGATAGCTTCTCAATCTATCTTGGAATAACTATCCGTAAAGATAAATTGGTACTGATCGACTCCACTTCGATATCTGGATTTCATTAAACTGCACAGTCTATCCTTATTTGTTTACTCTCTGTCTCGTTCTATCGGAGCAAGGAGATAGATGGAAGCACTTTAGATTGCGAGTCGAGTTTTAGACAGGACTGATCTATATATAATGATACTGTGGTTGTGCCGCACATAATAAACAACCGTTTTATATTTGGGATCTTTGGAAACCTATATATAACGTTGAAACGGAAAATCGGTGCAAAATAAAAATATATATTTGTATTTAACTCAATCTTTCATTAGTACCTATTTTAATCCTTATTTCAGATATTCATTATGCTAGAATTGATGATCACATTTCCTATACCCATTCGCATTTTTTAATTTAAATTTAATTTATTATTTACTATGTGTGTGTGTGGTGTGTGTATGTGTGTGTGTGCGCGCGCGCGCGCATACATTAATATGGACATTGTTTACTTTAAAACCAATCATAGAAATAGATTGATTTATATTTTGACACACATAAAAATAATAAAATGTTATTTTTAACAGCAGGAATTGAATTACTATTGTTATTATTACTTTTTAAATATTTAATAGTGTAATATTAACACATAGTGTACATGTAACAATAAAATTATATTCTTTTATTAGTTCTATCAATTTCTAATGGCGAGAATGGTGTTCCTGTTCAGTTTTCTCATATTATATTGTTGGAGAAGCGAGAGTTCCGCGTCTAGGTCGAGAAGGCAAATATTGCCTTCGCTGCCAATCAGCTTTCCATTTGGAGGAACATTCAAGGTATATTTTTAAGCACTTCTTATCTTTACGGAATATCACTTTTCCTCTAGTATACGCTGTAATATCGCGCTTTATCGTGTTTTTAATTTTATCATGCAAAGTTTCTTGCTCGGAGATTATAATTCTTGATTAGTTTGAGAATTAATATTTGAAGTATTCTTTGCTTTGCTCGTGTATTTGAAAATTTTCTGAATATTTCTCTCAAGAAAATGTGTTAACTAATTACAATTCTCGCGGCGTAATATTTCGCCGAGAGATGTAATAGCGAGTCTTCTTCGTAAAGACACGGATTCTATCCCGCGGCAAATAACTTCCATCTGATGAGCCACTGACTCTTATCCTTGGACGTGTAGATTTCTGTAATCATTTTGGATATTATTAAAATAAAATTTTGTTTCTCAAAGAAACGCTCTTAAAACTTTAGTTTCAATGCGCAATTTTACATGATTACACGTGTTGTCTTGTCATTTTAGCATCAATCGTTAAATAAAAACGCAACATTTCGCGCACATGCACGCGCAAATATAATACCTAATTAACATTTTAATTAAAACGTAATTAATTATTTACATTCTTTACTTGAAGCTACAGTTTGTAATTTATAATTTGTAAAGTCAAGAACAAAATGTTGCATGTACTGAGATATCTAATTATAAAATATTTTATGAATGTTTTAATTTTTATAAGTAATAAAAAATGTGAAAAAAATGGAGAGAAAGAGAGAAAGAGAGAGAGAGAGAAGGAGAGAGAGAGAGAGAGAGAGAGAGAGAGAGAGAGAGAGAGAAAGAAAGCGAACAGATTTTATTTTGTTAATATATTCATATTTTTTTAAATTTTTTGTATACACGTTAAATAAAAATTGCTCTTTCATACATTGATCTAATCTTCTCTATAAATTAATTCTAGCCAGCTTAATTAACACAGTAAGATCGAAATCAGTTCGAATGCAAAGTAACGAAGTGCATTAAATTTTCTTTAAATACAGTTTAACAGTAACAGTGCTGTTACTACCTTTGGCAACACGAAAAGCAGAGGAACAAATTTAAATAACGAGAATATCCCGGCGTTCGCCACAGGACGATTGATAATTAACTGCAGTTTTATCTGCAGTCCACCTTAAATCCTCTAATTAAATCGGAAAACTCCTGCTGTGCAGTTTTCTCTGTTAGATGAGATGATTCGATGTCGCGATAGGTTTTGTTTGCCTTCGTTTTCGCTGTCTCTACGAGATATTCTTAGTTATTAGTACTCTCTCTCTCTGTCTCTCTCTCTCTCTCTCTCTCTCTCCCTCCCTTCCTCCCTTCTTCTAAAGGAAAGAAAACTTAGGAGAAATTAAACGAAAACCTAATGGAGTATCTGATTGGCGTAAATAAGCGGTTTTCAAATTGTCTGAAGGAATAATCAGAAATAAGAGTTAGTTCTTAGTATTAGTTTTTCCTCTTCACTTTTCCATTTCAAACTTTGTTATGTAATTATAGAAAGATGATTGTTATTTCAAAGATTAATTTAAAGATAATTCTTATTTTAAATCTAGAAAATAATAAATCCTGTGAATTATAATGTTTATAAAATTTGTAAATAACACTTGCTATTAACAAAATTTTCTTAATTGTAATTGGAATACTTATTTGAAAATTTGGAAATGAATGCTGTACATGCCTTGATGAGATTTTATATTTTTTAAGCTCGAAAACATTACTATTATATTTGAAATCTACATTATTATTATCATTACAATTATTACTTTTTTATGTTCACTTATTTTTTGTCTTAATATAAAGTATTTCTCTCTTTTACAAATATATTTCTGTTACCGTGTAATATGCAAAAAAAATAAATACGTGCATACCAATGAAACGTAATTGAGTTATCATAAATTGGCGAAATGTCAAAATCGTGTCACTTGTTCTAACTCGTTGCGAAAATATCGCGGAGCAATACTAAAAATAAAATGCAACGTTTCAGAAAAGAATTTGGCAGCATGAACGATTGCGCAGTTGCACCTTTTTTACCATTTTGTGAAAACAGGAAATAAAAAATAGAACGAAAGTGCACGAGAGACGAATTCGATGTATGCGATCAATGCGCGTGAAAGGGTATGTCGAAACATGGCACGATGGCATATATACACAGAAGGATGAAGCAAATCAACGTCTCGATCATTATAATATATTAGAAATAGAAATAGAAATAGTCAATTGTTCTCTTTTGAAAGTCGAAAAGACCCTTTAATCCAAAGAGCAGCGCGCGGCAATTGTAAATATTTGAATGTTTGCCTTTTAAAACGCTAGCGGCCAAAGAGGAAAGCGAATTGGGCGTGTTCGGGTCACCGCACGTGCAAACTCGAGAAGAAAATTATGTCGAGGTTTGATTGTGATTCGTGACGAGGAGACGAAGGAGGCAGAAAAGGTGGAGCTCTTTCTTCTCGAAGTATTGCTTCCTGCAGTATTATATTGCGCAAAAACGCATCGTTAATAAAGCACCGAATATATTTCACGAATACCTTCGTTATTGCATGCTTGATATAATGCTATTGGATGAATTATATAATGTCTATTAAATATCACGAGGAAAGCTCGCCGAAGGTCAATACAAATTTATAATATTTCAAGGCGCGCCTCTTCAACTCTAAAATCGATATAGTTTCCAAATTTGTTTTGTGCAAAAAAACCTATGAAGAAAAAATCTGTCTCTTACGTAATACTTGGCTTTATCGTAACGTACTCTGCTATTATTTCAACGACTATTTTCTGTGCCAATTCAAGAGACTTGCATGCGTTTCTTTTGAAGATTGGTAGCACCGTCGCTTTAACAAATGCGATATCCATAACACAGATAAATTCTCAGGTAAACATTTGGAATTACAAAGCTTGGATACTGCGATCGGGATTTCTAATGTAAATACATTCCGAAAATGCGATAGCAGAGAAAACAAGATGCCGCGAGCGGAGTTCACATCACGTACTTCCGCTGAGCAGATATTTGAAATGGATATCGATCTCTCTTTTTGATTTCAATAAGGACGACTGGCCCTTCTCGCGGGACGAATTTAGATTTCGTCGATGCATCCACCGGATCGCTGCATTACGGAAATGTTACGCGATTTACAGCAAGTCGAAAAGTGAGGCTGATTATAATACAAAAAAACATCGCGCAAGGATTTTCTCAATAGAGAAAAATGAAAAAATTTATGCAAAGTTCGCCGTTAAGATTTAAATTATTGCTTCTGAGAACGAAGACAAGTCAATACAAATTTATAATTTTTCAAGGCGCGCCTGTTCAACTCTAAAAGATGTAGTTTCCAGAAATTTGTTTTGTGCAAAAAAGAACTATGAAGTCTCTTACGTAACTTGGCTTTATCTTAACGTATTCTGCTATTATTTCAACGACTACTTTTTAAATGTTACTTTTAAATGATATATACTTTATATGTTTGAAATATTTTTATATCATGTGCTAAGTTTTTTCTGAATTTTTACGAATAAAATGCTTCTCTCATCTTGTTGAATGAAGTGAACAAGAGAAAAAGGCAAAAATGGTCGCTGTATTCATATCATGCACTTGAACAAGCTTTGAGTGAAGATCTTATACATAGATAATTATATAATATGAAATATAAGCATTTTTGTGGAATACAATGAATATTTTACTTAACATTATTAAATTGCGCATTTAAATTATATATTTGTGTATCGCGCTCGTATTTTCGTAACATGTCTCATGCGCCTGAAAAGAACGTAAAGAGATAATGTAAATAAATTGGCAACCCGTCTTGGCGACCGTCGGTTTGCTCTTGCATAAAGAATACGAAGCATCTAAGCAAAGTAGAAGCGTCACGCGTCATAAAAACTAATGTAGGAGGAAGGACAGGTTTATGGCAGGTTGCCAGAGAGTTGTAAGTGCCTTCTCCGTCATCTGCAGGTTACGAAAATAGCGTAAGGATAGGGATCTTATCCACGGACAAAGCCGATAATTAAACTACTGTAGTCGACGAAACTTGGTGCATATAAACACAACAAGATCCTCTCAATATTCTACATTGGTGCATCTTGATACATCAAGTTTCGAACATCTCATTGTCTTTCTTGTATCTCGACATCTCGCGATATTTTTACCTTTTCTTTCGTCTTTCTCGTTTGGGGATCGCTCATCAATCTCTTCTGGATCATGCTGTGGCCGACTGCGCATTTCCGCATTAAACGCAGTAGACGCCGATGTTATCAGCATTGATGCCCCTCGCCGTATCTTTGCTTGTGCCAGACCAAACGCGAGTTTCTTCTTCCATTTCGCGGGTGATTTACGATCGGGTCGTTTAATCTCTAAAATGAATTCGCGAGTCCTACCCGTCTACCCCCATCAATTCTATTCTTTACGACCAGATACGAGATATTAGCATATGAATTTTTATGTGTCTATTGCGAGATGGCATCAGACGACGTTATTCAACATCCCTGGTCGTTTGAATTGCGGCGGAAGCCGCAATCTCTTGCTCTTCCATTCTTCCATTCTCGCTTGCGTGCTGACTCGAGAAAATCACAAAATTAATTCCCGTTCGTTTTTCGTTCCCCGTATCTTTGGTCTATACTTTTCCGGATGAACGAGTAAACTGCCCCTCGCCATGTATCCGTTCGTGGCCTGTACCTTTTATTCTCTGACCGAGTAGAAAGCGACGCTTTTATCTCGATCGCTTGAGAAAGAGATAAATCCTTTATTTTCGAAGATAAAAAAAAAGAAATGTTTCCTGCGCTAAAGAGACAGAGAAGGAAGTACTGTGATTTAAACCATGATCGTGGGATCCTTCAAGTTCTTTTAAAAATGTTCAAACGCGTCCGCTCCATTTCGATTATTTTAGTTGAAATTTTTGCAACGTATTTTGTGAGAAATTTTCGAAAAAAGTTATCTCACTCGCTAAATCTCACATTGTCCTTTCGATTTTATTATAATTTTTGTTTTCGAATACATTCATGTTTCTTTAATATTTAAGAAAATGTATACTATTACAATGTAACTTCTGATCAATCCACATTCAGATATCTAAATGTATATTAAGAATTGTAAGTGGCTGAATTAAGAATATCTTCTTAATATATAAGTACGCAAATATGTTTATTTGTTTATTGTATCTGTGATAAGCTCGTCGTGGGATTTGCAGTGCCCATAGAGCTCTCAGGCAGGATTGTGGTTTACGGGCAGAACTTTCAGTTCCAATATTCTCTGCCGCCGAACGCGACATTCTTCACGTCGTCGTCACGACGACGACGTAAAAGCGTTAGTTGGAACGAAAGGATGACTATCTACCGGCTTCTGGAGGACGAGTTCGAAAGGTAAGAATTATTTCACCATTGGACATTCCTGTACGATGTACGATATATCGAACGACGTGACAGCATGAAAATTTATCTCGTTATTTACATATGGATATACGTGTCCCAAGTTACATATGGAATTTCTGCAGATATTTGAAGAGATAATTAACAGATAGCACAGTCTGTTTGCTGGGCAGAATTATTTGCAAAGACAGAAAATATATATTTTCTTCAGTGTCTTTCACACATGGAAAGAACAATATTGTTGAAGTATCGTATCTAAAAATTTAACTGAAAATAAATCTGAAAATGGTTTTGTTTCCAATACAATTATTTATATATTTTCAGATTTATATTCAATTAAATTTTTATAAATATATTTCTTATAAATTTAAATAATTAGATAGAAGTCTCAAGCATGATAAACAATACTACAAAAAGTTTGTGCATTCTACTAGTTTGAGCATTCTAAGTAATTATTTTAATGGTCCAACTAAATTATTTTTAAAATTGAATTTGTCTAAATTTTAAACGCTTTAACAAAATTGTCCTTTTTGTGCATGTAAAGCGTTTAATTAATATTAGCTGCTATCAAAGTATACGCGTAAATAACAATCACAGATAACATTTTGTTTTATTAAATTGTATTAATTAAACAATGTTATTGCTATTATATGTATATATATTTGCTTCATCTTTTATTAATTAATTTATAATTTGTAGAAGGGGAATTGATGGAAAAGAATGCATGAAAAAGAATATATGCGAAACAGCAATGACTTTTTTAGAGGACGAAGGACTTGTGGGAGAATTATTACACCTTTTGTTTACGTAAGAATATTCAAATTTTAATTCTCTTTTTGAGTATGCATTTTTGTTGAAAAATTAAGATATGATTTTTATTTTAGACCTCGAAAAAGCGATACACCTTTGGACTCCGAGTATTTACAAGCATTAGAATTCGGGCGAGAATATCACGATTGTTCACGGATCTATAAATCGTGTCTTCCTGGTCAAGGAATTCTAGATCAAATCTCAAAAATAATATAATGTAGCACAAAGTCATCTTCACAAATAAACTAAATTTAATAAAAAAATTGTATTATGAAATAAAACTCAAGAAAACATTATTATTGGGTTGTCCGGAAAGTTCGTGCCGATTTTGAAGGAAAATTGAAACGCAGAAGATTTAAATTTTAGTATACATTTATTAAATTTAAATCTTTTGCGGCACGAACTTTCCGGACAACCTAATACTTTAATACAAGAATTTATTATTAAATTTAATAGCCAAAAACGAATTAAAAAAATGAATACATCTTCTATCTCAATTCTCAGTGGATATTCAATATAATTTGTATATGTACCAACGAAAAATTAGCAGTCTAATTTTTCTTAAGGATCGAAAATTGAGTTATTTTAAGCAACTGCGTATTTAACTTTAATTAAATAAAGCCTGCGGCACACAATGCTTATTTTCCTGCTCGATTGCTAGCTGGATTAGAATCTTGCCACCGTATTGGCTGTCAGTGCCAGCATCGCAGCCAATATGGCGAGATTCTAATCCAGCTAGCAATCCAGCAGAAAATCAAGCATCATGTGCTATGGCTTAACTGATACTAAGAGCAAAATATAACGTTCTAAACAAGAATTTACGCATATATACGATTCTTATCATCTAAATATTTTTCAGTAAATCATGCAGGAATACACATGTGGCAATTTCTGTTGCTGTACTGTTGTACTTTAGCCGTTATAGTATTATATATTAAAGCGATATTTAATTTGATAATTACAAATAAATGGCAGAAGAGTATTTAAATTCAAAATGACATGTAGTAATCAATATTAGACATTATTATTAAAATATTATTACCAAAATTATTTAACCAAAATTATTTTTTCTCAAAGATTTCAATCGATTTAAAAGTAAAAGTCTTTCAGTACTTTTCAATAATCATCATATTCAGTAACGGCAATATATAAGGACGAGGCACAAAGTAAGTTTCTGAATAGTTATATGTCACTCAGAGAATAATCTATGCTTTATGACTTATTTCGTTTTTCGTAGTCTGGAACTTATCAAGATTTGAGGAACGGATTAAAAAAAAAAAGAAGGAAAGATATCTTTCGGCACCTTTGTGTCGCGATCTCAAGATCGCTCAAAGCAAGAGCAGAATGAAAGAAGTTTATTTTGATAGGTTTCAAATAAAGTTTGCATTATTACTGAAGAAGCATAAATTAGCTTAAATCTGCCACTATTACTAATTCGTATTGCAAAATTTCTTAATATTCTTTCATCGAAGATAGCTATAAATATGTGCATTGTGTAAATGTATTTAATAAATTTCTATTACCCGATTAAAGACTAAAAATTCTTTCAATGCAATTTTTTATCCTTTATAAAGATAAAGTGTAGAATACACTTTCAGCTAGTTGGTATTTTTACGAAGCCATGCATTATGTGACTCATGAAAAAAAAAAGATTATATTGATTTGAAAAATTCACGCAAAAAATTGTCATGATTAGTTACATTTGAGTTAAATTAAGCGCAATCATCGCATTTCTTTAATTTAACATTAATCGCGTTTCTACTAATTGGTACGAAATGGTTGAAGACTTGAAAAAAGATAGTCAAGACGAAACCGAATCAAGAAAGTATCACTGAGTCTATAATAAAGTCGCGATCGGTCCTTAAGTTTCCGACGCAATTACTTTGAACAATAAAGGATAAAAATAATAATTCTTAAATAATGATTTCTTGGATTTATTGCTTGAATGTAATACTACAAGCAGTAAAGGAAATTCTATTTTTTAGAAAAAAGAATTTTATTTTTTACAAGAAGAGATATTTGGAGTTCTTCTTTTTTGTCTCAGTCTTTCTAATATAATCGCGGAAATATATTCATCAAGGATACTTGAAACGATATTGAAATAGAGATTTCAATGAAAAAAGTAATGAAAGCAACGAGCTAAGCGGATAATTCGTCGAAGAGCAAACATTGCGTAACGAGTAGTTAAGTAAGTATCACTGTATTCGCGGAAATGCTGGTAATTGATCGATGCTTTCGGGACGCGTAAAAGCATGGCGTACTCGTCGGTACTTGGAGCGGGAATAACTTTCGCAGTTACGCTCCGTCGGAATTAAGCGACCAGTGTATCTCGTGGAATTAACGCTAACCGCGCTCCTCATAATTGGCAACGAAACAGTCGGGACGAGAGAGAGAAAGAGAGAGAGAGAGAGAGAGAGAGAGAGAGAGAGAGAGAAGCAGAAAGCGCGGAAGTTGAAAATGGAAGGAGAAGTCCCCGCGGAGAAGCTCCTGGCTCACGTTGCACGAATGATCGTAGTGGTTATTCGAGCTAAACGTTGGCGGATTCTGACATAAAATGTGTCATGTCGGAGACTCTTTCTCTCTATCTCTATCTCTCTCTCTTCCTCCCCCCTCTCTTTCTTTCTTTCTCCCCCTTCCCTTCTCCCCCCTGTCACTCTGTTTTTCTCTCTCTTTTTCCTTCTTTGCCTCTTCGCAAAACTCGAAACGAATCTCATGATAACTTTGTCCTCCTAAGTAACCTTGGCCCTGGTCCCGCGTTTCTCTTCTCGATAACGACAATTATGCGCCCACGGTTTTGGTGCAGTGTCTATGTCATTCTCTTCTACTTCAATCTCTTGGGACCTACGCATTCCGGAAGACCAGTCAGAGCTTTGGCCTTCCCTAAAGGCAGCACCTTTTTCGTAAGTGTCATATGAGATTCCTATTACGTGCGATGGAGGTTAAAGGAAGTCGTCTTTTATCGTTGAATAAATAAACTGTTAATTATTTGGCCCCACCATTTTTGTTATGATTTTCTATTCTGATTAAAAATATCGTTCGATCATATATCTTTTGAATTTATTGCGCAATAATTATTAAAAAAAATAAAAGAGGTTTTAATTATTTTTAATTAAAATAATTAAGTTATTTTTATTTATTTTTTTACGCAATTTTTATGTGAAGATCTAGTAAGTAGCATTTATTTGTCTTTCAAATAAATATAAACGAATCAGTGCAGTTTGTAAGATGGATTTTTTAAATAAGCTATATGTAAGATATAATGATTTATGGAAAATTAAACGAGAATTCGCTAAAATAAAAATAATCACAAAGAGGCATTGCATTGATGTTACAGCTACGCAAACTATCTGAAATCAGTTTACAGCATAAAATGTTCGGCACGAAAAAAGTTAACAAACGTTAAATTAACGATTCATCAAATTTTGACGGCGGGAACATGATCGATTTAGCAATTTTCTACGTTACGGCAACTTCAGAACAAACTGTAGCGCAAAAAAATTATGAGCGAAACGCCGTCAAAATTGTGATGGACGTCATCTGTTTTGAGAAGAGTCGAACATTTTTAAATAATAATGCGATAACTATTGAAGTTCTCCGCATACAAAACAGCATAATCAATTACTATTATAGGCTACGGCCTTTCAAAGGTAATTAAGCGATTTAAATGTCCCGATTACATTAAACATTAGAGTAGTAGCTAAAGGATTTAAAGGCTAAACACACACGCGCACAAGTCGGTGCAGGATAGGCGAAGATCGCAATATCTGTGAGAACACAGAGCATTCCGCAAATGATTGTTCTGGCCTTCTACGCTAAATTGAAATTCTGCCATGTGTAGAACGGATGTTTCTACGCATTCGGAACGCATGCTGAGTTTTTGCCCGAAAATATCATCCCCGTTAAATATATTGCGCGAATATCGCCAGTGAATTTTATCGCGAAGAATGCCATCGGGAATATTTTGCATCCTTAACACGCGGCGAAATCTGGGCGACAGATATACGTACTATTCTCGATTAATTACATTCTCATTACGCGAGAATGTACCGTCCGTGAGAAATTCGTGGAATTTTTTTTTACACGGATTCCGCCGCGCGTCCAGTAATTCGTCCTGGCTATTTCGGTTTTTCTATCATTTTGGAATCGTTCCCCCGCCGTGAACCGGTCGCTTCGTGATACTCCAATATTCAAATACCGAAAAAGGCTGCCCATGCTCTTTTTTCGCTTTTCGCGAAACAGCTGTGCGCACAATACGGCATATTATGAAAACACCCTCCCGTAATTTATACGATTTGCGAGTTTCATCGAACGCGTAACGTGATATACATATATCTTATTTTTCTGAAGCTGTATGCCTGCTACATAATGCCTTTGAGACTAAAGTTGCGTGTTGGATCTCGTAATATAGGTTTATTTTTGACAGCCTTAGATAGAAGCAGTAGTTTTCAAAACTTTTCACGCCGATGTGCTTTCTGCTGCGTATACCCAGATGAATTCAAAGTATTGAAAGGTAAAATGGGCCAAAATTTATTTCTTGTTAATATAAAAAGAAGAGGAGAAGGTAGATTCTCGAAATCTACGTTGCTAATACAAAAGAAGAAACTTGCAATAGTGAGTTATGAGACCTTCGTTCAACTAAAAAAAGTATATAAAATTACATAAATCATAAAAATTGCTTGGAATATAGAAAATCCAATTATTAGGAAATTTTTCAAAAAGATTCGCCTCAAGAAAAGTTTTAAACCTGATTTTAATAACATTAGAGCTAAATTTTCTGAGTGCCATTGAAAAGATCTTTATCCAATTTAGAAGAAAATAATTTGCCTATAGACATGGGATGGTAGATTACCGATAGACAAAGAATCACCAGAGTCCGAGACAAATGATTCCATAATTTATGATGGAAGTAATATATAAAATTATTTTTACAAGAATTACTTCTTTTGTCTTTAATTATGCAAATATGTCTTTATTAGATGGAAAATTACAATAACAACAATACATTTTATACGAAAAGCATTTCCTCTTAGAATTTACCCTGAAAATATGGTAATCGTGGGACAACACTATATTTCGAAGAATTTTATGTAAATTTCTCTCATAAAATTCACCAATAAAACAATAATAAAATATAAAATAAATTTAATCAATTTTACTGAAGTGCATGGCAAAAATCTAAAATATTGTGTTGTATTACAACTATTATATTTTCAGGGTAAATTTTAAGAAAAAATATTCTTTTTGTAGATTTTATGTAAATACAATTTTTTGTAATATTACATAACATAATTTAATATTATACATATTATATTTGCATTTTTACGTTTGTATATATTGATAACACAGTTTTTAAAAAATTGTAATTTATTAAGGATGTATCACACGTATAGTTCCTGCAAAGAAAATTAAATTTGGAAATGTATTTAATACTTATACTTCAAATAAATAATTTAAATAAACTATATACACATGAAAGTTGTGTGAATAAGATTACATTTTTATTTAATAATACATTTTTGTCGTTTATTTATTTGTTATTAAATAATTTTATAGTTAAAAATTAAAATTTTAAAAAGGATAACAAAATCTAAATTTTTTTTTATAAGTTCTTTAAATATTCAAAGTAATTTATGCCAAGTTTCATTGCGATTCATTGATTAGTTATAAAAATATAGAACAAATAAATATTTTGCTCTTTTGTTAATATATTTATTGAACAACTAGTTCATGCAATGTAACTCTATACACATAATCTTGAATACATTATGTACTTATATTAAAGAATTGAAATTTTTGTAATTTATTTTGTGATACATTTCCATATATTTTTATTAAAGAATATTTAAAAAAATATTTCTATTTATTAAAATACTTATAATTCAGAGAGTAAACCGTCAGTTGTATTATTTTTACATGATTTAGAATAATCTGTAATTTTTTCATAATTTTGTTATCATTTTAAAAATATATATAAAACATCCTTAACGAGTTATTACGTAAATATTTCTACAAATATAATTTGAATTATGTAAATTTACTTTTACAAATTATTTAATTACTATGAAGAGTACTATTTATTTGTAAGATTTTATTAATTCAACAAATTTTATTTAATTGAATTTAACCGTAATCTGCTTAATATTGAACAGTTTGTTAAGCAGATTATGATTGAATTCGATTAAATAAAATGTTGAATTAACCAAATCTGTAAATAACAAAATGTGTTTAGTTAGTTCACAAATTTTTTTTTCAGTGTATCTAAGCATATACATATATACTATAGTAATTCAGATTAAATTATTTAAGCATTAAAGAGCTAGCTTTGACCGTTACGACTATTGCTTCTAATTCATATTATTGAATATATCTTTAATAGTGAGTCCCATAATTACTCATCATAAATATAATTTTAACAAAATTCTTTGTGTGTTTTACAAATCAGTCGTAATAATGTTTTAGGAAATTGTGATTTCATAAGATTGGGAAAAAACATTGACAGCTAAGTAATATTTTAGAAATAAAGAAATTTTATAAAAATCAATTATCAAGAGATGTGGTAATCTTCCGTCAAGTATATTTTTGAAGTTAATATATTAAAAATATCTTTTTTATTATTATGGGGATAATATCATGTCATGAAAGAGACGCTACAGCCGGAATAATTAATCTGCTATTTATATACGATTTCTCTGTAAAAGCAATTTGTGGAAAAAATTGAAAATAATAACAGAGAAGTTTGTTCATACATTATTAGTAGAAAAATTAACTACAGACAAGAAACTACAGACAAAATTGCAAAGAAAAAAACGGAAAAATTTTAAACAACATTGTAGAGAAATTAAAAGAGATATTTTCTTTGCAAAACCAATCTGCGAACTAAAAAGAAATTAAAGACAAATTTTCACAATAAGTAACAGAAATTTCGCAAAGAAACTGTAGAGTAATTTGAAATAAATTTCCTTGCATTTTCTATGTGAAACATATTTTAAGAAAAATTTAATATCAATTAAAACAAAAATTGCAAAAAAAGATGCATATAAATTAGTGAAAATTGCAGAGATGAAGTATAAAGTGTTGAAGAAGTATGGAAGTGGTGCAGAAATAATGCAGAAAAGTTGCAAAGGAGTTGTGAAAGTGTGCGGAAAAGGTGCCAAAAGTGTGGGAAAGTGAATAGAGAACATAGATGAGTAGATAGAAGTAAGTATTCTGGTGGAAATACTTCTCAGCTATTATTTTGCATATTTCTTTGTAATATGTCTATAGATTTCTCTGTTAATTCTACAATTGGAACCATCTTTGCGCAGAAATTGCAAAAAAATAAGCAGAGAAATTTCTTTGCAATTTCTCTGCAAATTTGATTGGAATAATATTTGCAGACAAACTGCAGAGAAATTCAATACTGTTTTCAGTTAATATTGCTTTTTTCTTCAGTTTCTCTGGATTTAAAAAAAAAATCATTTGCGATGTAAATGCAAAGAACCTGCAGAGAAATGTATTAGTATTATTTAATATTGCTTTTCTCTTCTATTTCTCTGCATTTTCTCTAAAAAATGGCCTATGAAATTAATTCAGAGAAATTGCAGGTCAATTGAATAGAAAGGTCATAGTAATGTACTGTAACACACTCTTTTTTAATAGTCCTTTTTTGTTTAGTCATCGATCCTTTAATTAGTATGTATGTATTAAATAAAATTAAATTGCTGTGTATTCTGGGATGGCATAAATTTATGTCCTTTATTTTTATAATGACGATTTGACAATAACATTGAACATTTTTATGATTATAACCGTAACTAAATATTGTGAGGTTATACTAATGTTGAAATCACTTTGAAAAATAACTTGTCATCATTACGCGTTTACTTACTGAGTAACATTAATTACTGTAACGAGTAACGTT